AACACTTCTATTCCATAGTATAAGGGTTCATCATGCACCTGAAATTCACCCACTAGGTACACCCCAATGCAGATATGGGCCAAGTCAATAAACCAGCGTGGCTTGTGAAATCCAGTGATAATGTTTCCCAATTCCTAGTGCATTATACCCAAAGCAAGCACAGATCATATAGAAAGTTGTTGAAGTTAATAGAGAAAACTATATTTTTTTTGTCTCCAACCTTTGACCTTTTTTTTAGTGCTCAATTGATAACTTTTTTCAATTTCAATACTTAAGTTTTGATTTTATTTATTTATATATTTATGTTTAAGTGTCTACAATCACCTAAGCCTATGAATTTCTAACGTGTCCGGAATGAACTGCCATGTAATAGTTAAAAAAGCCACACGACAATAAAAAAATAAAAAAATACCACTTGATAATAAAAAAATATCACATGACAATTCATTTTGAGCATGCAAGCATTTCACATTAATCAAAGATTTGGACATCAAAATTACAATTTTTAAAGAAATTTATTACCTTGAGATTGTGAAATTAGTCCAACAATATCCACTTGATGGCATTACTAATAAATATTTTTTATATCTTGCTTGTGGTGTTTTTTACTTATCAAAGATAATTTTTAAAATTGTTAGAGTTAGAAAACTACTTTTTAAAAAAAATTTCTAATTTTATTTTATTTTTAGTTTTTTAAAGATAGATTCAAAAAGTGAAAGTTCTTTTCGGGGAGAAAAAAAAGTGATAAATTTAATGATTTTTTTATTTATTTATAGGTAAACGGGTGGAAAAAAATCTCTCTTGAAAAATAAAGCAAAAGCAATTTTAACATTTTTTTAAAAATTAACAGAAAACAAATAACAGTAAAAAAAAATTAACGTAAATTAACATCAACTATGTTGAACATCACAATTAATGAATTTGGATAAGATTTGCCTAAAAATTGATATTTTGGGATTTAAGTTATGCAAATTAATAATGAAAACCTGAAATTGTCAAATTACAATGGAACGTTGGCACTTAATTTTTACCGTAAAATCATTTTTTTTTACTGTATATTTGTGCGACCTAGTTAAAATTAATGGTTTTTCATGTTTTTGTTTTATTATTATTTTAATAGTAGTCAATTGTTTTAATACGTGGTTTGCCCTTTTTAAAGTAAGTAAAAATAGGTGTACATATACTTTTTTTTTGTTTGATGTATAGATATACCAATGTGTTTTTATTTTTTTATGATTTATATATTCTCAAAACAAAACAGTTTGTTTGTTAATCAAAACTAAATCTTTTTATTACAAAAATATGTCTCAAATTGATCTAATAAATTTTTTTAAAAAAATTTCTAAATATTAGTTTTAAGATTCATAAAAGTAAAGCGATAGATTAGAACTACACTATTTAAATATACTAATCATACATTCCACAAGCAACATATTGAAGGTTCTACACTTAATTTATTTTATTTTCCTTTTCTAAAGAAGGAAGAACTTTGAACAGTTTAAAAATATATGTTTTATTATGGTTTTCAATGTAACAATTTATCATTTATTCAAAAGATAATATGTATCTCTCTCTTAAAAAAGAAAAAAGAAAAAAGAGAGACAATATATATGATTTTTTTTTATTGACAATAAATATAATTGTTGTTGTAACTTGGAGTGTAATTTGCCAAATAATAGAAGAAAACAGAAGTATTAAAATGAAGCTCTGATCACTCCATAATGCACTAATTATTCTTTTATTTTTGTTCTCCGTTTCAGGAATAATTCTTTGGTGCATGGGTTTGAATTGTCCTATCTTCGCTATAATATCCAATCTCACAATCAAAATCAAGCATCAAATAGATATAAAAAGTAAAAAAAGGTACATATATGGAAATAAATAAACAAACAACCATAATTTTATAAAATAATTCTCTTGCTAAGAAAAACATTTCTATGGGGATTGGACCGTATTAAAAAATTTTAGTTAGGGCACACCGCAAATTGTAACCCAAATCCCAATTGAGTTCCATTCTTTTTTTTTTTTTTACTGGATCCTTAAAGTATCCTGAAATATTTCTCAACCTCAAAACTCACATCAATGTTTCAATGACAAACATCAAGTTCCATACAAAACAACATTTTATTTTTGTGAAAATTTATAGGGATTTGGACGGAATCCATTAACGAATGTAGTGAAGGGACTCAATTCATAATTTTATAAACTTTGGGGATCTAATTAAGAGAAAAATTGTTTAGAGACTCAATTATATTGCTTTATTTATGTACGACAAAGTTACCTACCTCTTTAGGCTCAATCCAAACCATCACGTGGTACGTAATACGATCTCTTTGCTTCAACTTTGAACCCTCACATGCAATACAATGCACTATATATATAATGCTAAATGAAAAATATTGCAAACAAATTGATCGAAGAAATATTAGCAATATTTCGATAATACTAGTTCACTTTTTGCACTATGCTATGAGTCGAATACAATATATTTATTTCTGTTTGATAACATATATTATGTTATCGGTTAATAAAAATATATTAAATTAAAAATAAAATTTTATTTAATTTTATGATTTTTAATGAAAAATTTGCATTTATTTTTTTATTTTTAAATAAAATTTTAGTTAAAAAAACATGATTTATTCTTTTTTATGCATTTATTTTTAAAATAAAAATCCTTAATAATCTAAATATAAAATTAAAAAAATATTTTTTAAATATTTTTCATAACATTGTATTGAAGAAATAAAGTAATATAAAAACTTGTATAAAAATTAACAACTAATTTTTTTATTCTTGTTTAATACTGATCAAAAGAATATTGTTTTGAAAGTATGTACATTTGATTTATATATATTTATTTATAAAATAATCAATAATATTAGTATAAAAAAATTGTATTTGAATTATTAGGTGATTCTTCTAAAATGTTATTTCAATTATTTTATTTGAAAAACATAATTTTAAAATATAAAAAATAATAGTATTAGTTGGTGTTATGAGTGTAGATGCATAGTTCATTTTCAATGAAATTAATCTCTCTCTCTCTCTCTCTCTCTCTCTCTCTCTCTCTCTCTCTCTCTCTTATATATATATATATATATATATATATATATATATATATCGTACTCATTGGGTCGAGTGTACAACATAAACTGAATTTAAAAAAAAATTAAGTTGTAAAAAATATATTGAAGTTAATAGTGTGCAATTAAAAAAAAATTGATTTTGATAAAATTTGATTATATAAAGAATAAGTAAATAAAACACATGAAATCTATTTTAAAAATAAATTAAAAATTACATAAAAAATTAAAAATTAATCTTATAAGAATTTTTATAAGAAACATCGATAAATTGAAGAGATCAATTTTAAATAATAAGAGTAATATAATTCGATATATATATATATATATATATATCTAAAGTCTAAAAATATATCATATATACTTCATAACCGTTAGTTTGTGTAGAAAAAAAAATAATGATTGATTTTCCATAATTTTCACACCCAATTCAATAATTAAAAAAATATAAATTGGTGGAAAAAACCAAAGAAAAAAGAAAAAAAAAGGAAGAGTTTTCATAATTTTCACACCTCATTCAATAATTTAAAAAAAAAGAAGAAAAAAAAAAAGATAAAAAAGAGGCCTTGGGCTTAATCCAAGCCTAATTAAGGCAGTAGCCTAATGCAGCAGGCAAGATGATGAAACAACCCAGAGAATTAAAATTTAATTGGAAAACTTTAAGGATCAAAATGAAAAATTACGTAAACTTCGAATATAAATATTCAAAAAATTCAAAAATTGCAAAAATGCCACCCTCGTCTGTATTTTATAAACAGTGAATTGAAGGCATGAAAGTACAAAATATGCCTTTTGGTTCTTAATTTGGTGCATCACTTTTGACAGAACCACAGAATTAAGGTGCATGAGGAGAGTAATGGATGCTGTAAACAAGTATAAACTGTGAGAGGAAAAAGGTTAATTAGTTAATGCACTAGCTAGCTAGAATTCAATATAGTTTTGAGCAATAAGAGTGTGTACCAGTTCTTGATGTGCCATCATCAATATCTACTTACATCTCCATATATATCCAAAGTAGATTCTTGAATATCTACTACGCTCCCCATGTTTTGAATTATAGAAACGAAATCTACATGAGATTGGTAAATGGCCCTGCTACTTTTCTTGCTTAAGATTAAGAAGCACAAATCTAGACCTCACAGTAGTTATACATAGAACCTTAAAGCTGTATTTGCATGCATGTAATTTGAACTGTTGCCACCACCAATCAAAGAGTTCCACTAAAAAACATCCATTCTTGCACTTTTTTGATTTAGAAACAACAGCATATATAATTGATCATTCCTTCTGGGATTGCAATTTGCACGGTCCAAGTAATTAATGGAAGGTTGTAGGCAAATTATTTTTAGCATTAGACGTCCAGCCACGCACGCCACATGCAAACTAGGAGAGTTTATGAGGATCTGGAGCAATACCATATCATTCAATCTGTTGCCACTGTCACATTTAATGCTCACGGCCTAATTTTACAGGTTTAATTATTCATGCCTTGCTCCATTTGAATTTGGAAAGAAAGTTTTAGTTTTCTTTCTTTTCTTTTTTTCGATAAACATTCTTACCTTACGTATGAATGTTTTGATACTACATTTTGACAGATTAATTTACAAAATATGAATATATATGCCTTCCCAGAAGTTTATTTTTTCTTTTCTTTTTCTACATGGACGGTATATTGGGTCTAATTCCTTTGTTTATAGTGTGAATGTTACATATATATGGTTAAGCATAAGAGCCATGACTCTGAAATTATCTGCTCCAAATTAATCTTAACAATTTGACTCTAAAATCTGAGCTCCTGCCAGTGATTGTTGGGTATTTATTGGTTACAGACATTGATTTTATGATTTAGGCCTACTTCACGAGTCATGACTCAAGACTAGAATCCATTGAACAGCGGCTGCAACAAAAAAGGATTTACTGTTTATACTGGAAGGGCTTGGAGGCTCGGAGACCGTGATTCATGCCTTGAATGGCACCACTTGCTGCGGCTATGGACACAAGGAAGCAGACCAAGTTCAAAAGCTGAAGCGCCAACCCCTTTATGCTTAGCCTTTTGATCTTATTCTGGGCCATGTGCATCTCCACAGGGAAATAGACTGTCATGGGGCCATAGGAAATTGCTCCAAGGAGTGCCAGTATTTCGTTGAAGAAGGGCAACGCCATGGCAAGTAAAGTCGCTACCACGACAAAAGTTGTTCTCCAAGTTAGCCTTAAAAAGTTGATGCTAAAATTCAACTTTTTGCTGCCAATTCTTAGTGGGTATTCACTGTTTACAAATTCGGAATTGGGCCACCTCATGCTAGCCCATGATTCGAACGTGCCGTATATGGGCTGGGCAAGTACCTGTCAATTGAGAAACTATTTAGTATAATATCTATTTTTTTTTTCGGTTTTGTGTAATAGCTAAATATCTAATTAATCAAGTCTATATGCACAAATTGGATCTTAAGAAGTATAATGCACCTGGTATGCACCCACTAGGTGCACCACTATGCAGGCATTGGCTAAGTCTATCAACCAGAAAGGCTCGTAAAATCCAAAGCCAGTTAGCATGTTCCCTGGTGCTTTGTTCCCAAACGCAGCATAGCCAAAGCAACCACACATCAAGTAGAAGGTTGTTGAAGTTAAGATAGCTATTACGTTGGCCTTCTTCATTGCTTTATTTTCAGGTGGCAATGACCTTAGTGTGTCCTGAGAATTCACGGAAAATACAGTATCAAAAGGGTTTGATTATTACAGAGAGCTCAATTTAAAGCAATGCGAACTCTTGTTGAACAACGAGGGCATTTCCATCCAAAAAGAAGAACACTAGGATATATATCTTCTTATACAAACACAACAGAAGTATGGTCCATGAATGGTTACTTTTAGTCAAATTTTCATACATGTGAAAGAAAATGAAATAATTAACCTTGGTATTTAACATTCTGTCACACATCCAGGATTATGGAACCATTAATTACTTAAATTAATATTGTCATTTTTGACATGCTCTAACTTTTTTTTTCCTGCACTCAAAAAAGTTGCTCAATATGCTCTTAGAATATGAAATCTTACTTGAATTTCAATCAAAATTGCAGAATAGGCGCAAGCAAATGCCATATCGCCAAGTGCTCTAAATATTGTCCCTATTTTTTCTGGTGCTGTCACATCTACTCCAACTTCTACGCCTGTAAGTGTAGTTCTTTGCCCATGCCCTGTTTCAGAAGCAAAAATACCTCTGAGATGAACAGTATTATTTTGACATGAACGAATCTTAAACCGACCATGAATGCTATCTTGTGTTTTGTAAAATTGCTGTAAAATAGACAAATACGAAGGGAGGCAAATAACAATAATAATAATGTTCAAGAATAGAAAAACTACATATCGGCCCAAGCTCTCTGTGGCTCATAAAACTTGACATCGGGTCTAGAGCCTGGGCCCATGAATAGAAAAACTTTAAAAAAAGTGTGAACTGCCTTCAAGAAATTACCTGAGATGACCTGGGCAAATGCCAGTCCTAGTCCAATTGATGCATAAGCAAAAGACATGATGGCAGCAACGGATGAGAGCAATGAAAGCTCATGGAAATTTGGGATTTGAGACACCAAAATTTCTGTAATCCCAAGTCCAATCATGTACGGGTCGTTGGAAAACTTGCATGGAGCTCCACGGCCTCTCTCGTGGAAGCAATTTGATTTTCTTATGGCCCTAAACCAATATTCATCAATCTTAATTAATACACAGATGTATACTAACTTTATAAATGCTAGAAACAATTGATTTAGATTATAGCTAGCAACATAAACAGTCATCAATCATACTATAAAAAATTAAAATAATTTTTTTATATTTTATTTAAAACAAAAGACATTTCATTGTTGTTGTGGCTACTTTCTCACGAGTGTGATTTCCGTCTACCATTCTAAATGTAAGTATTTACTTACACCATTATAATTTTTTTTTGAAAAATGTTACTTACACCAAGTCGATAGATGCGAGTGATTGTATAGCCGATTGTTGTCCCACTGAGAATGAGAAATTGGAGCAACCCATAAACCTTGCGCATGTTTTCACTCGGTTATTGAAATTAATTAATACATTTTATAAGCCTTCAAGACATGGCTCTACAAAGGTAAAGTAGTGTCTTCATTAATATGCTCCAAAGACATACCTAAAGTTGACGGTGGCCATGTATGTGTAATTTCTCTTACTAGTGACCGAGTTTGGATATCTATAACAATCGATAAGAGACTAGAGGTATAATATGTAATGATTGAAAAGGTTAAGAGAATGACTATGCCGGTGATCCATCCAAGTTGAGCCATGCCCCGAAGCTAGTGAGAGAACCCCGAGCCTATAATTGTTGTTATTATATGTGCACTTGCGATCCACATGGTCCTTGCATTTTCATATGCAGGAGTTACCGAATTTGTGTTAACCGTAATAATATTTTGATTGCTTAGGTTAAAATAGCATCAAGCTCCATTATATCATGTTGCTTGGACTTCGTTTTACTTTGCTTTCTATAAAAGGGAGAAGATGATGCGGGTAATTAATATGGGGTATCAAACTTGGATTGGATTTACTACGTAGTTGAACCTTTTTGACATCTTCACAACATAACAAAAACATACAATAGACGGATGCATTAAGGCTACCTCTGCTTATAACATGATGCGCTGCATGGATTGGAGTTATAGACGGATGTCTTAAGACTTTTCCTTAAGCTACTATAAAACATTCAATGCTTTATTTTTTTTTTATGAATAAAATCTTATATAGTGCATGCATTGACTTAATTCTCTTCTAAAAACTTTACATGGTTTTATTTTTGTATTCTTTAAGGAACTGCGTATTTCGAAGTTTATCTCACAAGGAATTTTAGTGTTACGCTCTCGCATCAAGAAGAATTTTTTCGGAGGACAACTAACAATGTTAGATAAATCGGGAAGCCTTTAAAAGATTATCAAGCAATGGAAAAGCCTTTAGAGCGTCCAAGAAAAATCTAGACATGTACTAGAGAATTCTAGAGAATCTCTTATTGTTCTAGCTTGTGCATATCTAAATAGCTCTTTATAAATATCGAAGTAAGAGAATTCCGGAGAATCATTTGTAACTATTAGGTCAAATAGATCTTAACCATCAATTGAAGAGGTGGAGGACTATAAATAGGGGAGACTTTTATTCGGCCAAAGCATCCAATCTAGAAGAGAAATACAAGAGTTGTATTCTAAGAAAGTTGTAAGTTTTAGAGAGCAATATAAATAGTTTTTATATCTCTTATGTTTGTCTTTCTTGCTTAATAACTTTGTGTGAAAGAAGGTTGACTTGGTTTGTCTTAGAGGAGAAGTGAGCCAAGTGCCATACGAAAACTTGGGAAAGACCAAGTCCATGACAAGTGATATCGAGCTAAGTTCTATCAAGCATGGTTAAGCTTGCGGCTAGCTAAGTGTTTTAAAAAATAAGCATATCTATCTCGGTGTTGAGGATATTGATGGGAACACTATGAAGGAGACTCTATCTCCTCAAACTAAGAAAGGAATAAGAAAGTCTTGTGATGTGTTGGTTGCCTTGGATTGGCGAATCTTAAAGGCGGATGAACACCTTATCAAGTTCAAAAAGAGACTTGAGGAGATAGAGGGAGACGATGAGGAGGAGACACTAGGTATAGCGAGGCCTATGGAAGGTGCTCTTCGATCTTCAAACTCGAGTGGAGTTAATTAAGAGGTGTGGCAAAGAGAGTGCTACCAAAAAGGATGCATTCGTGGAATAGACGAAGGAAATGCTCAAACAACATCAATAGTTTATGACTAGGTATGAGCAAACTCTTGAATAACTTAGAAGAGATTGAAAAATTTTTTGAGAAGCCATTTTTAATGATATGATCTTGAAGGACATGTCGAAATTTAAAGTGTTAAGACCAAGACACTATGTTGGCAAGCGAGATGCTAAAGAAATTGATATTTTTTTTGACAAGTGAAGCAATACTTTGAGGCGATAGCTTGAGTGAGGATAGAAATCGCGTCAAGACTCGCTACTTTCTACCTTATAGATGTTGTTTTATAGTAGTGTATGAAGCACCAAGAACTTAAAGAGGGAAATCAAAAGTTGCTTAGTTGGGACGAATTCAAAGAAGTTGTGTATGTCTAATTCTACCCCAAGGAAGTAAATTGGAAAGCATAGGATAAGCTATAGATGTTGAAATACATAGGAATTATTCACGAGTATGTTAGAGAATATGCCTCCTTTAAGTTTTAGGTATATGGCAAACTCGACTATGATCATATGCATAATTTTATTAAAGGACTTCAACCATGGGCATAATAAAAGATGCAAGGTTGATGGCTTAAGACCATCACCGAAGCCGTGGTCATAGATGAATTCCTAATTAAGTATAAAAAGAAGGTAGAACCCTTCAAACTTAAGAAAGACTTTAAGAGTAAAGATAAAGGAGCCTTTGAGAAGAAGGAGTATAAAGATGGGAAAGACATAACATACAAATCTAAAGACTTTGTCAAAGAGCATGACAAGAGAAATTTTAAGCCCAAGGGTTGCTACTTTTATAACGAGCCACATCAATAGAGAGAGTGCCCAAAGTGCAAGTCGTCAATGTCTTGATGGAGGAGAATGAGTGTGCTCCCAAGCATGAGAAGCACATGGGGTTGTTGTAGCTTCTCAATGCCTTGAATGTCAAGCCCTTACTTAAAGTATTATCAAAAGACGGGCTTCGTATGTGGATGTGGACGTGAATGACAAGGCTATTCACTATTCGAGGCTGCACTTTTGAAAGAAAGACTTCAAAAGTAAAGATGAAGAAGCTTATGAGAAGAAGGGGTATAAAGATGGAAAAGACAAAGCATACAAATCTAAAGGCTTTGTCAAAAAGAATGGCAAGAGAGATTTTGAGCCCAAGGGTTGCTAATTTTATAACAAGTTGCATCAATGGAGAGAGTAGCCAAAGCGATAAGCCCTCAATGCCTTAATGAAGGAGAATGAGTGTGCTCCAGAGCATGAGAAACACATGGGGTCATCGTAGCTTCTCAATGTCTTGAATGTCAAACCTTTGCCTAAAGTGTCATCGAAAGATGGGCTTATGTATATGGATGTGGACGTGAATGGTAAGATCGCACTCACCATGCTAGACATAAATGCCATACATAACTTTATGTCAAGAATGGGGATAAGAGACTTGGTTTGGTGGTGAGCAAGTTATCAAGTAGTATGAAGATGGTTAATGTTTCTTCAAAGCCTACTAATGGTGTAGCGCATGGAGTAAGCCTTGGCATAGGCATATGGAAAGAAATGCTAGATTTCACGATTATCACAATAGATGACTTCAAGGTTGTGCTATAAAGTTTCTTAAACAAAAGAAAGTCATGCCTATACCTCACTTAAAGTAAATGGTGATCATGAAAAAAGAAACATTGTATATAGTGCTGATCAAAGTGTATGTTAAATCGAAAATGAAGCATCTTTCAGCTATATAAGTGAAGAAGGGCTTCAAAAAAAATCGTCTACTTAGCAACATTAAGAAAAGATGGGTCGATGGATAATGAGGGTGCGAGAGATGCCAAAAGAGATTGCCAATGTATTAGTCAAATTTGATGATATGATGTCATTAGAGTTACCTAAAAAGTTTCCATCTAAGAGAGAGATCAATCACCAAATAGATTTGGTGCCTATCATACCACCAACCATTGCACATTCTTGTATGGCCTTTCTTGAATTTAAGGAATTGAGGAAGCAATTGAAGGCTCCATTAAAGACTAAACAAATACAACCCCCTAAATCACCTTATGACTAGCTCGGATTGTTTTAAAAGAAACACGATGGATCGTTAGGAATGTGAGTGGATTATCAAACATTAAACAAGATCATGGTAAAAAAGAAGGTATCCAATTTCATTGATAGTTGACTTATTCGATCATTTAGGAAAAAAATCGATTCTACATCAAGCTTGATTTGAGAATCGAGTACTATCAAGTTTAGATTGCCATTGAAAATATGCCAAATATAACATGTATGACAAGGTATGAGTCCTAAGAGTTTCTTATTATATTATTTGGCTTAACGAATGCCCCAACTACCTTATGCGCCTTAATGAATAAAGTATTTTAGTCGTACTTAGATTAGTTTGTAGTGGTATATCTTGATGACATTATGGTTCATAGCTACTATAGCTACATGCTCTGAAGGAGCATCAAGGCCACCTACGTACTCGTATTCAAGGTATTAACGAGAGAATGAGTTGTACGTCAAAAGAAAGAAGTGTTGTTTTATAAAAGAGATAAGTGCTTCTTTACAAAAGAGGAAGTACTCTTCCTACGGTATAAGATTAAGGGAGAAAGTTTGATAATGGATGAAGCCAAAATCAAAGTTATCTCAAAATGAAAAGAGACAACCTAGGTGCTCGAGCTTTGCTATATCCTTAGGTTAGTCAATTACTATCGTCATTTCATCTGTGACTACTCAAATATGGAGGCCCTTCTTACCGACTTATGGAAGAAAAATAAGAGATAAAAGTAGAGTGAATGGTGCCAATATGCTTTTGAGGAGCTAACTATCATTAAGGAGCTAGTGTTGAGCTTGGCTAGCTTAACTAAGTCATATGAGGTACACACTAATACTTTTGATTTTGCTCTAGATGGTGTATTGATATAGTAACAACATCCTATAGCTTACGAGAATAGGAAGCTAAATGACATCGAATGTCGATATTCATTGTAAGAGAAGGAGATGGCCGTAGTGGTGTATTTCCTACATACTTAGAGCACTACTTGCTAGGGTCTTAATTTATGGTAACGACAAACACATAGCTACAAGTTACTTCCAAACTCAAAAGAAACCGACATTAAAGCAAGCTCGATGATAAGAATTTCTTATCGAATTTGTCTTTGTCTTTGAGTACAAGCCAAGCAAGACCAATGTGGTGATTGATGCACTTAGTAAAAAGGCTAAATTGCATCATATGACAAAGGTAAATAGGAAGATCATGGCCGAATAAAAAAGGAAATGGAGTACGATCCCATTTATAAGAGTTTGTTGGCCTTTGCTAAGGAGGGAAAAACTAAAAAATTTTGAGAATAGGATGGCATTATCTATACGAATAAGAGTAGAATATATATGCCTAAGTAGGAAAAACTCTAAAAAGATTTAATGAAGGAATTTCATGACTCGATATGGACTGGACATCTAGGACAACAACGTACTATAACCTTATTAGAGGGAGCATATATATATATATATTTTTTATCATAGTTGCATGATGATATGGAGTGTTGTATGAGAATGTCCCCGGTATGCCAATAAGACAAGGTTGAAAACTAATTTTTTAAGGGTCCATTGCAACCTTTACCTATCACGGAGAGAGCATGAGAGACAATCACCATAGACTACATAGTGGCTTTGTTGAAATCGAGAGAATTTTAGGAGCATTAGTGTAATCGTGGATAAGTTCTCCAAGCATGTCACTTTCATATTAGCCCTAGCAAATGTGAATAAAGAACACCATTAAACTACTCTTTAAACATGCGATGAAGTATTGAGGTATGCTATAATATATAATTAGTTATCGAGATCCTTGATTTACTAAGAAGCTATGGATTGAGCTATTCGAATTGATGGGCTTGAAGTTGCATTACTCTATGAGTTTTCACCTTCGGGCGGATGGGCAAATCGAGAGGGTTAATGCATTACTAGAAACATATTTAAGACACTTTATGAGTCTTAATTAGCGAGATTAGGCCGTGTTACTAGATGTTACCTAATTTTCCTACAACTTACAAAAGAGTAAGTCTACCGATAAAAGTTCGTTTGAGATTGTGATGGGCCAGCAACCACTTACTCTACATACGATGGTGCTTGGTGACAAGTACCAAAAAACAGATCCGAGTGCATATTCGATGGTCAAAAGATAACAAGAGCAAACGGACTTAACACAAATGTATTTGAATGAGGCTGCCAAGAAAATGAGGAAGTGGGCTGAAAGTCGCCAAGAAAATGAAGAAGTGGAATGACAAAAAATAGAGAAATGTTACCTTCCAATCGGGTGATAAAGTGATGATGATGTTGCTATCATAGTAACATAACACATTTCGTAAGGTGTATAAAGGCCTTATACATTGATATGAAAGACCATTTAAGGTAGTGCATAAGGTGAAAAATGTGTCATATCGCCTAGAGTTGCCCTAGAAGTTGAAGATCCATCAAGTGTTCCATGTTAGTATGTCGAAGTCATACCATGGGGATGAGAAGGACCCAAACCAAAGAGTTTCTCATAAAGCGCCTACAATAGTGGTTGACTCATATAATAAAAAAGTTGATGTCATACTTGATGATTACACCATTCGATGTTGTGGTGTGCCACCAAGGAAGGAGTATTATGTGAAATGGAAGGGATTATCGAAATCAAGGCTAACCGAAACCTCATCGAAGCCTTGTGACAATTCATACGAAAGGTCGAATAGTACAATGAAAGCGCATCGAGGACATCACCCAATTATGTGAAAGAGAATGTTATGCCTCGCGCGAAAGAAGGATTTTTTTAGAGGCCAATTGAAAATGCTAGATAAGTCAATAAGTCTCTAGAAGATTACGTAGTAATAGACAAGTCCGTAGAGTGTCCAAAAGAAATCTATGCATGTCCTAAAGAATTGTAGAGAGCCTTTCTTTGTTCTAAGTTATACATATCTAGATAATTTTTTATAAATAACTACGTAGGAAAATTCTAGAGAATCATTTGTAGTCATTATATCAAATAAATTCTAACTATCAATTGAGGAGACAGATGATTATAAAAAAAAAAAAAGGCTTTCATTTAGTCAAAACATCCAATTTATGAGAGAAATACAAGAATTATATTCTTGCAATAAAATTTTTTTAATATCTATTGTGTATAACTTTTTTTGCCTAACAATTATATATATATATATATATATATATATATATATATATATATATATATAAACGCTGATTCGATTTGTTTTAAATGAGAAATGATGCCAAGTGCCACACAAAAGTTTAAAAAATGTCAAATCCGTGACATTAATCATCGGATGAGCACGGAAATTATGATGAGCATGTATGGAAAGCATTGGACGATATATTCAAGTAAAAGATGCTCTGTGCAGCCACTTTTTAAAGAAATCGAATCACTTGCTAATAAAATAAGATTTTGGTAATAAAGCGACGACTTGTTGGGTTGGTAATAGTATTATTATTTTGTTATTGTGCTATGAGGATGATCTAGAATTGTTTTCACGTGAATTAAAAAGACTCCCTTTCAGAAAACATTTACAAATTATAGTGTCATCTTTTATACTATATATATAAAAAAATTCAATTGAAAATTTAACGTAAATGTTATCAAACTAATGCTAAAGTGGTGGTACAACCAATTGAGTCGTTTTTTTTATGGGAATAAAAAAGACTTCAATTGGATTCGTAAACTGCATTTTCTATTTTCCATATAAAACCATCTCTTTCCTTTCTAGAGAAATCTATTTTCATCAATAATACGTTTACAAAACAAGAATTCTATCAATATTCTCCAACTATTTTCCTCTTGGAAATGAGTTGTAAATTGAATAAAAGCGCAGAAAAATTGAAAATGCATACATGCCTTGTTCTTTGTTACATTGATGACATTTGACAACTACAAAAAAGTGCACGAGGCGACACATGTAAAGCCACCTTGCATGTATGACCAGTAGAGGACAACATGAAAATTGTGAAATTCACGAATTCAAATGAGTAGTGATTAATTAACTAACGAGAGAAAGAGAGAGTACCAGTCCTCCTTGTTTTGCCATCATCGTCTTGCTCTCTATCTGAAATGGTGCGAGGATCGAAACCAGATTCACATGCTTGCTGTTGGATCATAACCTCTTCACCTATTACAGTCCCCATATCGTTCTTTTTTAATTTCTTTGGTTTCTCTGTTTGAGTAAAGGGACTGTCAAGTGACCTTGAAGAGCGAAAATAAAGAACAATCTTAAAATGAAATCAGCTGCATGATGATCAGATTCACAAAGCAAAAACATATATGTCTTTCTTGTTGATCATCTCTAGACAAAGAAGCAGTGTATATTGAGCTACGCGCATGTCTCTCAATTTTTTCCTCTGTAGGGGAGCTATATAGGCTATAGCTACCCAGTTTAGCACCAGACGCAGCGAGATGTCAACCGCACTTCAGAAAAATGTGTCGATCCCAAAGCATATATACGTGAGTTAATTACTTGCCACTTTAACATTTATTATTCACACTAATTTTGAACAAGAATATCTCTGCATTGTGGGTTTGAGTTGGATATGATATGGTGTTACTAAGGTACTGGTAGTTTAAATACAAAATAGGAGAGATGCCGCTCATATGCACCCTTTTTTGTCTCATTTATGTTACTCATCCAATAACTAGAATAAGTTACTTTATTAAAAAAGAAATAGAAAAAAAAAACAAAAAATAATAATAATAAATTAAAAATTGAGCTTAGATGGAAAACTTTTTTTTTTTTTTTTTTTCATTTCCCTCAAGCATGCCTTCTGTGTAATCATTGGCATTGGTTTTTCAACTAGTTTTGCCCTTACTGTCTCATATAGGTCTAAGTTACCAAGGGTTTACAATTCTTTTTTGTTTGGCACCAACTATTCTTCTCATCTACCATCTGTACAAATGATCAACTTGTTATAACATATCGACAGGTGTAAATTTAAAAAATTTCATCTGTTCCTAGTATTATATACATATATATTTAAAATATTTATAGTTTTTGCATCAAATATAAAATATACATACTCCAATATTAACACCAATAAATTCATTTCCGGCTTTGCCTCAAATGAACTAAAACAGTTTAAAATAAACTTGAAATAAAAATGCACATCTTAATTTATTTCCGGCTTCCCCGCCCTATATATATATAACATATATATGCCTGCTCCTGCATCATATATAGGTAATGTTATGTTTTACACTTACATAGACATTGAAGCAGGAGGCTGGTTTTAAGAGCTTATGGCCCAGATAATTAATATCCTGTTTTGATGCCCTTAAAAGTTGAAGGGCTTAGAGTTTCGAAGAGCATGATTCAATCCTTGAATGGCACCACATGCTGCAGCTATGGCAACAAGTAAGCAAACCAAGTTCAAAAGCTGGAGAACAAACCATTTGATTGATCGTCGTTGAATCTTCCTTTGAGCAATGTACATCTCCACAGGAAAATATACTGTCATTGGCCAATACCCAATCGCTCCAAGGAGTGCCAGGAAGTCGTTGAAGAAGGGGAATGCCATGGCAAGCACAGTTACCACCACCACGTATACTGTTCTCCATGTTAATCTTTGCAAGTTGACCCTAAAATTTATGTACTTCCCTATCCTTATTGAGTGCTCGGTGGTTACAAACTTTGAATCAGGCCACAACATGCTACCCCAGGTCTCCAATGCACCGAAAACTGGTTGGGATAATACCTGTCCGTACATAGGCATATAATTAAATTAAATTGAAGAAACTATATATACAAATTTAGAAATTATCTCATTGGACGCATATACACCATTAGATGATTGATTAACTTTATACTATTGTTAACTTCAAATTAGCATAAAAAGGGGCTCAGACTCGAGTTCAAGTACTACTCTTGCCACCCAAAGAGGGAAAAAAAAAAAAAAAGATTATATAAGGTGTAAGCTTATATGTTATAAGCTCGGTAACTTCAGCATTAACCTTTGTGGTATGTGAAGCTAGATTGAAATGAGAAAATTTTCGTATAAGTAGTGCTAAAATTTTAAGGGAATTAGAAATGGTTTATAGCTGAAAGGATTAAATGTCAAGTTTTTTAATTAGGATAATGGGATTAGAATGCCATGTCCAAATATCAAATGAAAATTAAAATGAGTTGGAGAGGTCTAATAGTACCTGATAGGCTCCCAGTAGATGCACAATAGTGAAAATATTAGCCAAGTCAATTAACCAGAAAGGCTCATAAAAGCCAAAGCCGGTCAGCATGTTGCCAGGTGCATGGTTTCCCATTGCAGCATAGCCAAGGCAACCACACATCATGTAGAAAGCTGTTGATGTCAAAATAGCTATCATGTTGGCTTTCTTCATCACCTTGTTCTCAGGTGGTGATGACTTGAGCGTGTCCTGATAAGAATTCAAAGAAAATGCACCTTGAATCATATTTGAAATTTCAACAGTTGAAGTCGATCAGCTTTGCATAATATTACATACCAATATAAATTAATGGAGCTCTCCATGAAAATCTTCATTTTCAAAAAAATCGACTAAATATATTGCCTTTTCAAATTAATCAATATGGATTGCACATTACTAAATTAGTATAGTTATGACATTCAAGTGAAGTACAAATTAACTATAGAGGTGAAGTCACTGTATAGTTAATCGCCTGTTTGTAAATATCAGCCAACCATATATTATGATCATAGCTAGGTAGGTCTTTTAATGTTCTTTTGATGGTGGTAATAGGTATGTCTTACTTGGATTTCAATCAGAATTTCAGCATATGTGCAAGCAAACGCCATATCGCCAATAGCTCTAAACATCGTCCAAACTTTATCTGAAGCAGTTAACTGATCCACTCCAACTTCCACTCCTGTTAGAGTGGTTTTTGCTCCTTGCCCTGTTTAAAATCTCAGCTATTAAAATTAAGGAAAATTCCAGTCTCAATATTCTTGTAGTAAAAGTTCTCACATCAAGTGGCATGGATTCAATCAGTCAAAATTGTCAAACAAACATAGCCTATAATTAACTTGAAGATTCGGGTTTCTTGGAATTGGCATACTTGTTCATGATGTGCAAGAATTGTACGTAAAATAATTACCTGAAACAACCTTTGCAAGTGACAGCCCCATTCCGATTGATGCGTACCCAAAAGACATGATTGCTGCAGTAACGGATAGCCAAGACATCTTGTGGAGGTTCGGTATCTGAGACAATAGAATTTCAATAATCCCCATTGCTATCATGTATGGATTATACGAATGCTCGCAAGCAGCTCCATGACCCTTCTTGTGAAAACAATTTGATTTAAACACAGCCCTGAAAGTTTACGACAAAATTGGCATAAATGATCATTGCCGATCCATACTTCTAGTACTAGCTAGTAGTATGCAAGCTCTAGTCTGTGTAATGCATATATATATAACTTGTCAACAACTTACACCATGCTTATAGAAGTTGTGATAGTATATCCAACCGCCAGTCCACTAATGTAAGTATATTGGACCAATCCACAAACCTTGTACGTTTTTCCCCCTGATTTTCAAATTTACTGGTTATGAATTTGCACCAAAATTAATTATGAGTTACAAATATTATTGTTTGCATAGGAAATTACCTAAGTTGGCTTTGACAGCTTCCATATAGGTGTGATTTCTCTTTCCGGTGACTGGATCTGGAAATCTGTAGCAATCTGCTAGAAGGGTGGAAGTATAAAGAGTGATGAATGAGAAAAGCAAGAGAGTGCCTATGCCAGTGATCCATCCAAGCTGTGCTATAGCCCAGGCTAATGAGAGAACTCCAGAACCAATAATTGCTGTGATTATATGTGCACTTGCAGTCCATGCAGTTCCTGCATTTCACAATCGAGAGGATGCTGCCAATCATTCAAATTGCAACTTCCATTTTCTTGAGCAAATTGTAATTTGTACACGTTCTCTAGCACGCAAAAAAAAAAAAAAAAAAAAAAATTGCATCAACCAAGCTTGTAATTATTTGACATCACAAATGGCAAGCTCCTGGCCTTTAATTTCGGTTCAAAGTCTCCCTGTTCCATCATGTTTAGTAAACTAAAGTAACAATAGCAATAAAAATACATGGGATGAAATTAACTCATGAATTAATGTTTAAACTTTAAATCATTAATTGTTGTCTACAGTTCCCCATGCATGTTTCAGTACACCAGCAAGCAATACGTAGGCCAATGACACGTCTCAGGCTCCCATTACATGCATGATATGTAATTTCTTTTCCCGGAGGACCAAGCACTCACCCTATTCATGCACCTCCCTTGTTTAAATCTACTCTCCTTGTAAGCATCAACGTGTCATTTCCAAAAACTAACTCTTCCAACAGAAAATGAATTAGAAATATTAATTCATTACCTGGGATTAGATATATATCACCTTAATTGACAATTACGTTAATTAGATTTGCATGCAGAGCTTGAAATCATACAGGCATGATCCAGTGAGGAAAGAATTGCAAGCTAGCAAGAGTTTTGGCAGATAAAGTATACGTGTGTGTTTGAGGGAGAGGGAGAAGAGTGGTACCAGTTCTTCTGGGCTTTCCATCATCATCTACATCGGCAACTTTGTGGGGATCGAGGCCAAATTCACATAACTCTTGTTGAAATTTTTGATCTACCAAACTCACCATCTTCTTCTCTCTCTATCTACTTAGAGAGAGAAATTTTCTACAAGAAATTAAATAAAAAGTACTTATGCATAAAAAGAAAAACTATGAAACTTATTTGCATGAAGTTGATCAATTACCTTAGTAAGTGGTGGTCTGGGACAACAGTACTGTGACTTCGATTTGAAAATGAGACCTCTCTACAGTCTCATTTATAGACATGTTTCTATCTCTCTATAGACGTATGTTAAAAAAATGTCCTTATGCAGCAACAGTCACAGAAACCTGGCCAAGTCATCATTGTAATGCAATTGATGAAATGTGGCTGAAAAAAAAAAAAAAAATTGGAGCCGCTGGAAAAATCTTAATTTCCAATGCATGCCAAATCTTGGTTTGCTAAAGTTTGACAGAAAGCATTCATGGCCTAACCTTTGAAGGTAAAATGTGCGTTGGGATCGAGTTTAAGATTACACGTGTATATATGTAGTGTTTCTTCCCAGCAACTATTTGTTAGTAGTTTTTTAACCTTTTTATTGTTCGGTAACAAGTAGTAGGTTTTTAACTTTAACAATTGCCTAAATGATCCAAAAGTAATCTGAAATTTCGATCGAAATAAATATTTAACTTTTAAAAAATAATTACTTTTTTTAATAAAAAAAATATGATCGTTTAGTTAATTTCTAATAATCTAAAAACATGACATATATTCTAGAAACACAGTGATTCGGAAAAAAAAATACAGAAAATAAAACTACAAAAAAAAAAAATCCCAATTTTTTTTTCTTCATTACCCTTCCTCTCGTTGAAACTTCAGCGACACTAACCACCATCACAACCGTCCCTCGACCGTTCGGCACCTTTAATACCGTCGGCAGCAATAGTAGCAGAATCACTATGCTCCTCCAAGATTTCCATGCAACCAACCACCAGACTCCTTCAATAATCCCATCCAACTGTAGATATTTAATATAACCTCAATAAACTCCATTTAAATTTCTTCAAGCGTAAAAAAAAAAAAAAACCACCAAATTTGATGAAAAAGACAGAACTAGAATAAAATTTGATTTGTTCTTCAAATGTTAGAAAATAATATAAAATTATTTTTGAAGTATCAATCAACAAATAGCTTGACCTTTTAGATTAAAGTGATTCTTTAATATGATATCAAAGTTTTAATGATCAAATAGTTAGAAGTTCGAATCTCATCACTCTTACTTTCTCTTCTAATTAAATAATTAAATACAAAATAGCGATAGATATGTACAAGTTTCAAGTCTAAAAAACTTTCATTTGGGAAAGTGTATTAGAAAATAATATAAAACCAATACTTTCTCTTCTAATTAAATAACTAAGCATAAGGTATTGATAAATATACTCAAGTTTCTAGCGCGAAAATATTTTTACTTAAAGAAATATGTTAGAGAATAATACAAAATAGAAATGGTTCTTTGACATAAAAAATCATATAGAAGTCTATAAAATCTTTATAATTACTATTGAACTTATGAAGAATTAATATCAATAGCAGTGATAGTTGTTCATAACGATGACGGTTCTCTATGTCTTCTTCTTGTTCTATGTACTCTTTTTAATGAAAATTTTGGATATGTACATATTGTGTGGTTGTTTTTATCTTTTTATTTTATTCTCTTACTTAATTTGTTTCTTAACTAAAAAGACGTAAGTTTTAAGGTAGGGGTAGAATCCGTTGAGTTTCCTAGGTTTTTTCAAGGACATTAATTAAAAGGAGTAGTGGCTGCTCTATGTTTTTTTTTTTTTTTTTTCAGTTTTAATTTCATTTATTTTTTGTGTTTCATTTTTCATATCTTTGTATTTTGTTTATTATTTCTTTCAAATCACATATTTGAATATATCTACAATACATATCGTGTTTTTATGTTATTAGAAACGATTAAAATTAACTGAATTATATTTTTATATATATATAGAGAATAGTTTATGATACTCAAATTTAACTCTGTTGTATTGAAACCTCTCTCTAATTGTGACTTAAAAGAATATAATAATGATAATTATAATGGATTATGTAGAGAGGCAAATTCATGAGGAGAAAGAGCTGCCCTTTCCTATTAATTTAGTAATCAATAATTAAACAAGTATTCAATTCCCTGAAGAGAGTGGACCATTAAGGCGACTGTGGTGCTAAAAGCAGATTCTAACAAGATCAGGATGCCAATGAAAGCACAAGGTTTATCAAACTAATAAAGTCAAGATGCCATAAGAAAAGCAAGGCTGCAATTCTTCCGCCACGCCTTAAAATGAAAAGGCCAGAAAACATTAGAAAGATACTTCAATCTTTCTGGACACTCAAAGGATTGCACAATCCTTATTATATTTACCAAGATATTTAATTTATAGATATCCAAGCAAGTTTCTTTAATTTATGGCGTCTTGGACGTAAGAGAGTTTCTTAAAATCTTTTTCTTTTCTTTTTTTTTTTTTGGGAAAAATCAATAGTTGTATTAGCAAGTTGCAACAATTTTGTTAAGATGGCCCTTGGTGAGATGGCCCACTGCCAAGGCTGGCTCGTGGTCATATGGATAACTTAATTTGGTCTAGTGACTTCCCCCTGAACCAATGGTCCAGTGACTTAAGAACTCAATGGACTACCGTTTATGAGAAGCCCAGCCAGCAAAATAATGTGGCAAAACAAGCAAGGGTGCATCATCTTCATCTGCAGTCTAAATTTTGATGGACTTGTTATTGAACAATTAAAAACCTGATAATACAGGAAAGAGATTAAACCAGATCAGGAGCATCAAGCTGCAAAAGCTTGCTTCCGAAGGACTGGATTAAGCTACAAACACTGATCCAAAGGCTCCAATAGAATGCTTCGGAAATTATTTGTTTGGTGTTGTATTAAAAATTATATACTTATTAAAAAGTAAACATACCGACACAAAAAGCGCCTGTAGCTCAGTGGATAGAGCGTCTGTTTCCTAAGCAGAAAGTCATAGGTTCGACCCCTATCTGGCGCGAGCATCTTACTTTTATTTTTACTCCAACATTTTTTTTCTGTTCATTATCACATCTCATTTTGGTTCTACCGTAGAGCCAAAACTATATTCATCAATTCAACGCTAACTCAATTTCAGATGTATCAACTTTTCTCAATCAAGAATAGATTAATGATACATTGCCGTTGAAAATTAAAGATTTTTTATGTCAACATTGACTAATTTGTATATCCGTTACATTTAGCAAAAAAACAATCAATGTGTAGATTAATCGGTAAATTATGAAATAATATATTCTCCATGAGTCTATTGGTTTGATTTTTTTTTTTTTTTTGTCCAATGAATCTCTTATAATATATACATGACAAAAATATTCGATCCAAATTTGCTAAGAGCTAAAAAATTACTAGTTTTGGTTATTCATGTGATTGATCAATTGAAATATTGTTGAGACTTGAGAGCAATTCCATACATTGGATTTGGCAAATGGCTTCTCCCATTCTTTTCTTTGGATGCTTAGCTATGTACTAATTCTCCTTTTCCCTAGCATCGGATACACATGCAAATAGTAAGGGCATGTAATGTAAACACATTAAAGTCTTTAACTATTTAGTTTCACCTCTGCATTTAAGCTTTTGGATTTCGAGTTTTCAAGACCCTCATTTCAGAAATTAATTTTGTAGCAAAATGCTGCTAGCCTAGACATGTTCAATATACTTTCGTACATATTAGGATGCATTTCACATTTCTTTGATATAATATTTTTATATTACTTTCAATAATTGTATTCCTTTATTAAAAAAAAAATGACGCATTTCAGTTGTTTTATGACAGTTTTTGTTAATGGTTTGGCTTGCAAAGATCCCAAAGAGGTTCAAGCTAGTCACTTCTCCTTCAGCAGACTTCCCTTGGCGGGAAACCCATCGAATGTAACAACAGTAAATGTAGCTCAAATACCAGGACCTGACACACCCTCGAATATTGACAGTCATTGAAGGAAGTTTTGAAGTTGGATTTGTTACATCTAACCCTGAAAACCGTCTCATCACCAAGGTCTTACAAAAAAGGGTGATCTGCTTGTATTCCCAATCAATCATGTTCACTTCCAAAGAAATGTGGGACATGGCAATGCTGTTGCCCTTGCTGCCTCGAGCAGTCAAAACCCAGGTGTCATTACTATTGCAAATGCTGTGTTTGGGTCTACTCCAGAGATCCCAATTGACATTCTTGCAAAGTCTTTCCATTCGACAAGAATGTTGTCGCAATCAGTATTCTAGACAAGGAGTGGAAAATGATGGGACAATAAATTAAGACGATTATAGTCCGGCCATTTGTTCGTTATGCATTAGTCTTGAGCTTTGTTTTTGTGACAGGTTGAGTTAATCTGTATTAGTGGATTAAAAGTATTTCTTCTTGAAATCGTGTATTAAACATTCTTTTGTTGTATTGCGTGTCTTTCCTTCTCTAGTTTTTATGAAAGAAAACTGTCAGCAAAACAAAGCAGAATGAAAAATAGAACAGAAAGCCAGTCCATTTATTAAGAACAGTAGTAGCACACAGAGTCAAACTCACCTGACAAAGAAAAATCTAAAAAAATCCTAAGCAAAGCTATAACACAAGGGTACATTTTATGGACAAACAGGATAATACAGGACAAGACATCACATGAAATGTCCTAGTCCAGTAAAAGATCCACTACAAGCTTTGTAATTGGACTTGATAACATTCTGTACATACAGTCTTAGTAATTTGCACTAACAGCACTATTTGAGGAGTAGATACTGCTTGATCTTCTGACTTTACGCGAAGACCACTAGAATACCCTGTGATAGCCAGCATGAGTAATTCACTTCCTTTCTTATGCACCAGTTTTAGCATCATTAGTTGGGTTTCTGCTTCCATTCTGTTGAATTCACTGAACCTCCTGCCTTTGCTTGAGCCACCTCTAATTTTGATGAGCATTGTGGAGGAATTAAACCAATCTTGGTTGAACTCCCAGGTTTTCCAAGTGCCATCAAGATCTTGAAGAAACTAGACCGAAAATGGGCCATATATGTACATACATCACAACATTCCTTTCAATGTGTTTTGCATCCATAAATTACTTATTCTACAAAGGTTGAACAACTGCTTATCTTACATAACCTGAGAGGTTCGGTCTCCGAGTGGTGACAGAAAAGGGAAGTTTGCAATTTTCTTCTTCAGCTTCAGGAAATAAAAGGAAGGTAGACTTTTTATGAAAGGATTGCCACTTGATGCAATTTGGGAAACCCAAGCCAGGCTTCATTCTGTGGATATTTCTCCACTTCAAGATTTCAATCTTCACTCAAAAGTCAAAGACTCATCTTCCAATTTCTGCTGCAGAACGAAGTGGTGTCTTTTCTTGCTTATTGGTACCAACTGAAACTGAAATGGCCAAAGATCCACTATAAGTCCTAAAAGTTCAAAAGTGCAAAAAGAAAAAGGAAAAATCATGGGACAGTTATCAACTTCATGATTTTAAAGTAAACGCACCTTTCTCAGCACTCTTCAGTACGCGCAGTCTCTTCGCTGTAGATACAAACATACTGCAGGAAACATACAACGTCCTTAAATTCAGAAATAGCAGAAGAAAGCAAGGGTGTCAGCATCATACTTGAATGATTGTTGAAATCTCCAAGCAAACAGCTATCAGCAATTGGTAATCATGAGATCAGGTAATGAAAGTATTGAAAGCTTTCAGTTTTCATATTTGCCAAAGCATTAACCCCTTTATAGTAATTCTTAATGTTTAATTATGCAATTTTGAATTGATCTAATACACAAAAGCTACTGACAAGGGAGGTGCACAGAAGCTTACTGCCAAGGAACATCTCCAACGAGAATCCTGTCTCCTTCAATGTCCTCATAAACGAGAGTGTATTCCCTGCTTCCGGAAACTGAACCTACATTTGCATTTGCTTCATCCATCTTGTTTTCATTACTAGTATCACCAGTTTCTCTTTGAGCTAAAACAAGAAACTAACAAGTAAATAACCAGATACTTACAGCGTAAACACCATGCACTTAGACTGTGATTGAGTTTTTATCGAACCTGCAAGAAGACCTCTGAAGAGTTCATCTATGGCAACAGAGAGTTTCTCATAACTGTCATAGGCATTGAGGTTTATTTTTCTTCCAATAGGAACTCCTTCCATATTGATCTTTACAAACAAGTCATTTCTGAAACTGTCAGGTTTTAAGATACTCCCTTCTTCTGGAGTTCTATTTGGTAACTCAGACCCCATCTTTGATGTACTGCAACTTGCAAGATTTTTCCTGCACGACCGGATTGGAGGCCACCCAACTACTGGTGCAACTGCATCTCTGCTTGTTTAAATCAACAAAATCAGACAGCAGAAATTAAACATTAAATTATAGCCAGCAATATAATTCAATTCAGCAAGACTTTCTATTCATTGAACTTTTTGGTTCCATATTTCAATTAAACTGTTGGAATGGGGAATGTCCACATAGATAAAAGAAGAGATGGTAGCAAGATATAAGTAGAGAGCCATGATATCAAGGTGATCAATTATTTTGTTATGGTCGGATTCAATAGTAAAACGAGCAAAGGTGTGGTGGATTTTCAAACAAAAAGGCCCAACAAGAGGCCCCCACGAAACAAAAGAATTTTAACATTAATTATTGGCATAAGATTGTGTTCACCACAAGAGACATGACGATATGACTGGATCATTTCATGATAAATTTGGCAGGTGTGAGGAAATCCACTAAGATAGCAAAATTTTTTTTAAAAAAGTTAGGAACTGTACCGAGCTGCTTTTGTAAGTTTTAACCACTATTCATTACCAAAAAGAATGAACTGACGTTATATTGACCTCAAAAACGTGCATTTTCGAAACAAAAAAAAAAAAAAATGTACAAAGTTATATAGTTCTGGTGCTATGATATGAAACACAAAGCACTTCATTAAATAGTTGAGTTGCCAATGCATGATCGTTAGAGACAACCTGCAGACTAGATACTTACCAGAAACGAACAAATAAGTGCATGGTAAAGATCTTTAATCTCAACTGAGGCCAAAACCTTATTACAATGTCAGGATATCATGAACTGAACAATTTTGAGGTATTCTATCTGGATCCTAATTATACCACTCTGTACTTGGGGCACAAAAGAGTAAGCTACAGGTCAGAATTATCATGGCTGGGAAAAATTTTATCAGTTCGTCTAACAGTTACTTGAGTAACTTTATCTTGATCAAACAGGATCATATGTACTGTGCTGCCTTTTTGTTTCATGATACTCTAGATTTGGTTCATGAGAATCAATCAGCAAGTAACAGTACTGGAACAGAATGATTATGATCAATTTCCATCAACAGGAAGAAAAAGTTAAGAAAAGCAGGATAACCTTTTATGACAGCTATTGGTCCCAGCTGTGGTGGCAGAAAATGAAGCACTAGCAGTAGCGGGGGTAGAACAGGCCACCTTATGTGGGTACTGTAACTCTTCCACTCTACAGCACTGAAGAAATGAAGGCTTAGGCTGCTGTAACTCCTTCTGGGCCTCCCTGTGAAAGGTTGAAGGAGGTAAAGAGCTACTTAACCATGGAGAAGAGAATACCTTCTCAGCTTCTTCATAACATGAGAACTTCTTGCATTGCTTTTCATTGTTATCTTTAAACCAGTTTCCCTCTGACGTCTTTGCTCCAACTGAGTGTTGAAGCACTCTCTTGGCTCCATGAGTGGTGGGATTGGTCTTGTAACCAAGGAATGTTTCTCCTGGAGGACCAAGCCTCAACTCCAGCTTTTTGTCTTCTGATGCCTTGTGGCTTTTATGCTCAGATGTCAGATTGAAACACTGAGTATATTCCTCCATCTTTCTTTACCAGAAAATTGAGCTGAGCAGACAAACTTGAAAATATTCTGCTTCAATCCTTTCTCAGGAATGGACTTTTCAAGTTGCAATAAAACAATGATACAACTTGTAATTGAAAGAGGCAATTGCAAAATGAAATGACGGGAAAAAACTCAACAAGCCAATATGAGAAAGTTCCCGACTACTAATGATTTAGGCACCTAGATTCCTCCACTCCAATACAACTAATTTTAACATTCAAACAGCCAATAAAGAAACAAGAAAATCCACTACTAGATTGCGTTCTATAGGTAACCTAAATAAAAAGATATTTCTGAGGAAGCAGAGAAACAAACAGTATCAAGAACCTGAAAGGACATAGAAAACTCAGAGAAGGAAGCACAGTATCATATGGCAAGCTAGCTAGGAGGGGTTATAAAGCTAGTTGGTATTTTGACTCTGTGCAACTTTGTCTTAATTTCCACTAAAGGGGGATTAGATTAGATAGAGTCTGAGTGCACGGAGCAACATGTAGCAACAAGATGCAAATGCACATAAATTTCTAGACCCCAAATTACAGTCATGTTTTTTTAAGGATTGGATATTTTCGAGCCAAATTTTATATACCAAATCTACATCTCTTCTTAATCAAATCTTGAATGGATCATTCATAAATATTTACAAGAAATTTGTTCCTTTTTTTTGCACAATTTCTTTTTGAAGTTGGATTCTAGATAATAACATGACCAATAAACTTTTTTATTGTTATATTCGAATTTATTCTGGACCTGAACCTAATAAAATTAGATAGAAAATATAGATAAAACTCATCAAGTTTTTTCAATGGATTCTTTAATGAATCTTTTTTAATTTTTTTCCTTGATTGACTCCACTTGAAACCCATTAAGTACTTTCTATTTTTTTTTAAAAAAAAGTGATTCCTAACCCATGGAGTCTAACGGTCACACTTGGTCCAACAAATTATCCAGATGAAATCATTAGAGCACTTTAACAAGCTAGAGAGAGACAGACAGAAGAAAGACTCCCAACAACAAGGCAAAAACTAAAGAAAAATTATAAGAAAAAGTCATATTTTAAGGGTAAGAGAAATCAACAAGAAGTAGTGTAAAAATAGTTACAAAAATAAAAAAATAAATTTACTAACAATAAGAACACAATCCAAAATTTATTAGGCTATAGCCAATAGCTAATAGGTCGTAATCTATAGACTACAATTTATAGGAAGCAATAGCTAATAAGTCATAATCTATAGATTATAATTTATTGGAAGTAATCAAATCGTAATAATTTGTAGACTAATAGCTGGTTCTTAGCCTTTTACTCGACTTGCAAGGATCATCATTTCTAGTTCTTTCGGAAATTTATCATGATTGAAGTGTCAATTCATTATATTTTTTTAATATAAATTTATTATTTTCAAGTTGAAAATATTGTAAAAACTGTAATTCTACGTTATAAGACCTTCAAGTCTATAATTATTGTATTTCATTCATATTGCAGCTTATAGTTTTTCGTATTTATTATTTAAATTATTAGTTTTTAAGTTTAATTGTGTTGTTATGATTGCATATTTAAAATAGAAAGCTCAATATTAGCTTGAATCATCTTTTCTTTTAAGTTATCATTCTTGTAATTTTGCTATTCAATTAGTTTGGCCGGTCATTAAGATTTATAGCAGTTCATCTTATAAAATTAATTTGATTCAACTATTTACACGATTGGAAAATTGATTGTCTTTCAAAATGCTTTTTAATCTTCCTTTATATATATATATATATATATATATATATATATATATATATATATATATTACAAAATTCTTTAAAAAAAAAAAATCGCGACACTTATCCATCGTGCTAAAGGTCCAGAGCTCAATTATAAATGACAACATTACTAACTCACGCAAGAAACCATAGACTACATGGAATCTATGGGACTGCTGCCAATATCACTCGTCTCATGACAGATGTCCAAGATAAACACTGCTGCTCTTCTATTCAAGAGGCAGCGTCCTGGCCTCCTATGATGGACCCTTCATGGCAGTCTGACATTGACATTACGAATTTTAGTATTGCTTTTTCAAAAAAAAACTCTGTTAATGGCTTTTTAAATGACGTCTCCTCTCATCTCATTGTCAAGCTTCTAGCAAATAAGCTCTTAAGCTCTTAAGCCTACCATATTTCTGTACATATAGGACCAGAATGAGGCAACTGAAAGTGCAAATTTATGTCTTTTAATTATAGCTAACAATCAAATGCTTTTGACTTTGAGTTCATTCAAATAGATAGCAAAAAACGTGTATGGTAGTGACTACTTGACTCTGTTAGAGACGACTTGTAAGTCACTAGTCTAATGGTCCACTAGCAAGTAAACCCTCTTGGCTGCCAGCAAAATGTCTCAGACACATGCAGCAGCAGCAGCTTAAAAGAGTACATTTCCCACTTCATCGTCAACCTAGCTTGCCCCATAATAAGTTATTTTAATGTAGAAGTGTGCATGGTGCGCGTGTGTGTGTGTATATATATATATATATATATATATGCTAGTAATATTACGCACAAAATAGCTGTCCAATGTTAAGAAAACTAGGAATTCACAGTAAATTAGTGAAGGAACCATTATGAAAATTGTTGACACTTCATCTTTTTTGGCATGCTTTTGCCACCCGGAGTTTCATGGGTGGGGGAGGTGAGCCTGCCAAATGTTGACATGTTGAACCCAATTTTAGTTCGTTTCAAAAGGAATCGATGGCATTGTTCAATGAACTTATTGAACAAAATATCAAGTCATTCGCTTCATCATTGGCATCACAACACTTTATACACCAAACATCTCTGGTGGCTTGTGGACCCCTACATCCCACTTATTTAGATATGATCGAAAGCTGTACTGATAATTCCCAACTTCGCTTTAGGTATGCTCTTACGGACCTTTTTAACTCTCTCTCATTATCTTTTTTTTTCCTTTCAATTTTTGATTGTTATTATCATTACAATTTTCCCTTATAACCACCTACCTGTCTGTCTATTTCTCTCACTTGTAGAAATTGCATGATTGATTCTAGTAGCCATGATAAGCTTAGGTTAAAACTTTTTTTCATTAAAAAAAGCAGAAGAAGAAGAAGAGGAAGTAAGTTGAGTATAATACTTGTTCATTGCACCTGTAACATCTGTGAACATACCCCAAGTTGTCTAGTACCAAGAACTATCTTTAAAAAGAGCGGAAAGCAAGATTATGATGGCGATTTTTAGAAGCCTCTCTGATTGCTTTTTCATAGCAAAACTGTTGATCATGTTGTTTTAATAAAAGTTCCTTCTTCTTTTTTCGGGGTTTTGAAAAACTGACTAAACCAATGTTAACACAACTGATACAGGATTTGTTTTCAAATCTCAATCACTTCAAAAACCAGATGGAGGATTAAATAATGGTGTCCTTTGAATATGCTAATAAGATATGAGGGAGAGTAGACAACTAAACTTGGCCTAAAACTAAAAGTACAAGAAAGATAGACTTTGGTTTGCAAGTTCAAATTCAGATTTAACTCTCTTTTTTTCCATAATAAAATTCCAATAATAATCCACTTTTTTTCCGCATTATTTATGATATAATCATAAAAAGCTAGTTTTTCAAGAATTTTGGACCAAATTTCACATAAATTTTGATTTTCAACCGGTTGGTGCCAATTCTTCGATACATTTTTTACTAGAGGTATCCTTGATTCCATTCATAACTAGAGTCTTCATAAAAAAATATCGATACCCAACGTCGAACATGACTCTTGAAAAATTTTTAGGTTTAGATTTTCAAATATTCGTATCCGATTTGTGAGTGTTTTGGGGATGCGAGTTATTATTTAATTTGTAGTCATTATCTAGTATTAAGGAACTAAAAACCTAAAAATAGCACCGTTGCAGTATATTCTCGGGTAAAAAGTTGGTTACGTTTTGAGAAAATATTGATTACCCAAAGATACCATGACTAGTTTAGTCCTAAATTCATTTTTTAAAGTATTTATATTTGTGTCAAGTTATTTTTTATTTAAACTCTTATTTCCAAGTTGAATTAAGTTTTTTTTGGTTTTGAGCGTGACATCATATTGAAATGATCGTCGGTCCTCTTTGTCGGACGACACGTCGGCTCAAATATCGGATCCACTTTAAGCCTCAACATAACCGATGTGTCAAAGAACATCATAATTGTTTGAATGTTCATGAGACATGTTTGTTTTATTATTATTTAGAATTTTTTTCTTATTTTTTGTTATCGATAGTCCTTATCGAATAGGAGAATTCGTTAGGAATTTTAATTAATTTTATCGATAGAGAACCATTATCAGCTTCTAAGAATGAGGAGATTCGACAATTCACTCATCTATTAACTACTAAACTAATTTCGAAACAAAATCCTAAAATTAACTATTAATTTTCCTTCTTTTTTCTTGTTTATCATTTTTATTTATTTTTGTTTTATTATTATTTATTGATAAAAAAATTTATCATCAATTCCTAGAAATTAGGAGACTTGACAATTCTTTTATCAAGTAATTATCTAACCTAATTACTAAAAAATTCTAAAATTAATTAAATAAACTCCAAAAAAAAATCTAAAAAATTGAATCTAAATTAATGCGAAAAAATAAAAATACAAAGGAAAACCAAAATATTCAGACTTAAGTAAAAAAATTAAATCAAAACATTAAAAAAAAATTCTTATGAAGCCCCAAGCCCATTGGGTCAGGCCCATTGGCCTTTGCCTTATTCTCTTCTACCTTTTTTTTTTTTTTCTTTTCTTCTTCTTTTTCCTTCCCTATCTAACTGGACTAATTCCAATTTCTTATATTGATTTTTTTATATGCTTTTTATCTATTTTGTTAAGCAGATCTGCTTGGTTTCTTTCCTCTTAAAAAAAAAAAAAAAAAAAAAAAAAAAAAAAACCTATGGCTGGCTGGGGCGGGTTGGGCTAAGCCCAACCCATTCCTTTTATTTTTTTACATGGGCTGGACTAAGTCCACAAACAAAGCTCGAATGTTTTCTTCGTTTTTTTAGATCAAACACCCCTGCTAACTCTCTCTCTCTCTTCATGTTATTTATTTTCTCTTTCTATTCATCCTCTCTTTTTTTATATGAATTAAGCCCTTGTTTTAACCCAAATACGTAACCAATTATGCTATATCCCTCCTTGATCCTAGTCAAAACTATGATTTAAAGCCCAAACAAACCACAACAGAAATCTAAAAATGACAGAAATTGGATCAAAGGAAAACTGAAAAAAAAAAAAAAATTAAGAACACTGACCAAATTACGAAATTGAGGATCGTTGTTCAGAAGTTGAGATGGGCTGAAATTGATCCTCTAGATGGTTTCGGAAAGACTTAAGGAACTTTTGATTGGTATTGGACGTTTGAACAAAGTACAAAATCGAAGGATTAGAATCCAGCAACGTCAAAAACTAACCCAGAAAAAATATTAACAAAATTCTGAAGACAAGTAGGTTCATAAAAAAAAAAAATGCAATATATATATATATATATATATCGTTTTGATCTAGATTAATAAAAAAAATCATTATTAATAAGATAAAATTGTATAATTTATTATTAAAAATAATCCATATTATGATGAATTAATTTAATCATATCAAAACGTGCAAGTGAATTTTTTCATCTAACAATATATATATATAATCTTCCACGGTTTGAATTTTCTCTTTAACTTTTAATTTTATTATATTAATGATGAGGGCCCGAAATCCTGGGCAGATTGTGGTGCAGAATGAAACGATGAATGGCCTGTTGTGGTGGCCAGATGGGCTGACGGTCTAATGCCATGGGCTGCTGCTACTGCAGAATTAAAAGAGGAATTGAATTGATATTGTGAGACAACACCTTTACGGTACGTGACCGTGGCAGGTTGTCTCTAGATCTCCGTTCCTCAATCCAGGTGGGTGGCCAATCAGGGCATGGCAACGAAGTCGTTTCTCTTTGTTTGTCATTATAAAATGATAGTGCCTTGGCCAATAGTGTAGTGGCCCTTCATACATTTTCTATATTTGTTTCGATAAAATTTTTAGGAAAAAAAAAAAAAAAAAAAAAAGACAAGTTCAAATGAAGATTCAAATCAACTTTGAATTAGTTTCAATCCACTTTAAATTGAGATTCTATAAACCAAAATTGCTGGCTCCGCCATTGATGTGGACTACAGTTTATGTAAGTTGCATACGTTAGCTCGATCTACTTAAAGAATTAAATTATAAATGTTGATTTATAATAAAATTAAATAATATTTATGAGTTTAGAGAATCATAAAATATCGATTTTCCGACTACGTCTAACTCGGCCTCGTTACTTATTAGGCTTAATTTGCCATCGACAAGGTAGGGTGTAGATTGACTTGTGGAGGTAAGTGATGTTGGACTAACGGCATTGCTATTGGAGTCGTTCAATTGTTTACTGGCGGGTGCTGTTAATTCTTTGTTTTACTTGTACAGATTTGTCTCGGAGAATTGGAAATTGAAATTGTTGCCTTCATCTACAAAAATATAGAATTGATTTTGATCTAAAACAATTTTTTTTTCTAAATATATTTTCATTTTATATTAAAGATAAAACTAACTTTGTTTGAACTTAAACGGTCAATATAATTTTAATATTTAAATTCTATATATTAATATAAAATTCATCTAAAATCAGCTCGTTTATTATTAGATCAATAATTTATTTTTAGAGTTAAAAAAAATTTAAGAGTGAACAAAAATCCATGGTGCTTAGTTTCCTTTTCTTTTCACTTCCATTTAAAATAAAAATAAAAATAAAAAAATCTGACCGTATACATAGTAAAGATCTTATTAGATCATTCATTATGCTTTAATTTGGTTCGTTTTTTATTCATTTAATATAACCGAAAAGATAAGATCTAGTCATCAATTTTAATGATTGGATGGAGTTAGTCCACCCTTCACTCTGTAACTGGCAAATTGGAGGCAGGGGTTAATAACCACAAAATTGAAGTTCGAAGGTTTGGATCACCCGAAATTACAGTGGAGATTCTTCATCTAGGAGTGATTCAAATTCTTGTTTAAAAGTTGTGATTAACTTGTAATTTAAGCTCATCAAATACATGCTGACTTGCCAAGACAGCACAGCAGTATCATTTCTCTCTGTTAAGATGACATTACCTTAGTTTCTGCTAAGCATGTGAACCTTAGGATTCTGTGTCTTAGGAATTTGCAATGCAACGTTTGGGATAAAAAGCATGAGAAAGTATTGGAATCATATCTATAGCATAACTGAGCAAAGATACTAATTCTTCTTTATGCGAGTCTATAAAATATTATTCCACAAAATGCTGGTTAGGATTATTGGTCTCCTTTGTTGTGTATGGATTGGAACTCTACTTCATCTCCTCTCAGCTAGTCCAGCTTGTTTCACCAACTGAAATATTTTCAAACAACACAAAGTATCAATAATTTAGGCACTATGTTTAAATGACTAAATTATAAATTAGTCCCTTTAGTTTTCAAAAGGAATTAAATAGTCTCTCTAGTTTCAATAACTAATTAATTAAACTCTGTATTTTTAAATCTATTTGTAACTTAATCATTTTCTGTCCTTTTTAATTTATTTTGTTTTAATAAATAGAAAAAACTATGAAAAAAATGATGAGAAAATAAGATATTTTTTAAATTAAATAATATTAAATTAAGCACAATCAGCACTGTTCTATGAATTAAATAATTAGTGTTTTAAACAAAAAAAAATTATTTAATTTATTTTGTAAAACTAGAGGGACTAATTTATAATTACTCATATTAAAACAGACATTGGAATTAGCTTGTACTTGCATTTTACGCTGACACGCAAACCTGAAAGTGAGTTTCTAGTTTCCTCCTCAAAGTGGCATGCTCGTGCTTGAGTTGTTGAAAAGTCCTGACGCATCTGCAAAATCGACAAACCAGTAAATAAGATCGAATTAATTGGAAGCACATTAAAAAAAAAAAAAGGATATAATTGAGTTACCCTTCGATGTTTCTTTCGTAACAATATTCCCTGAACTGTGAGCATTCCTTTATCACCTTCTTAGCTCCAATGCTGCAAATTATTTTAAAATTTTCACTTTTAATTTACTTCCCTTATTTGTAAACCAAACTCTGCTGTACTTTTTACAACAGTTAATTACCTTGAGCTGCTACCCTTGAACTGGTGCATGTAATCATCCAGCTTACCGAAATCAATATTATGCTTATTGATCCTGCAGAGCAAAAGAATATTGTTGTTTTTGGAGTAGCGTATAATATTGAAATGTTGATTATTGTATACTTACATCGCCTGTTCAATGTTTTGAATCAATCTAACTGAATCAGTGTAGAACAGGGTCACAACTTCATCTACAAAATTTGGGTTCGCTTCATCTTGCAAATCCTCCAGTTGAACGAATTGATCATCAAGGTATCCCTGCAATCATGCATCCATTAATAAAATTTCCTTATGCCAGAAGACCTGCCTGTTCTGTCAGTTTAACGGCATCTCCTGCATGCGCTCTCTCCGCAATTACATTTTTTTCTCTCCTTTAGAAGTTCAAATTTTAACTTCTCTACTGCTTAATATAATTGCAAGCTGGGGCAAGCAAAGTTTGGATCAAGCATAGCTTGAACGAGAACAAACCCAAAAGTTGAGAATTGTGTCTGTGCATGTTATATAAACGATGTCTTTCTTTATGTCGGTGGTGGTCGAATTCATTTTTTTAATCACCATTAGACAGTGGAGATTATATTTTGTTCAAAAGAATTAAAATTTATTGATGGATGATTTTTTCTCAATCTTATATATTAATTATTTTTAATGTATTCTGATACCAATTAATCTTTTAACACTACCAAAGACGCAACAAGAAATATCTTACAGTCCTGGGCTCTTTTCTTGCTTGCTAGTGTTAAAAGGGTAAAAATATCCTATTATGGCAATCATTTGTTGGTCCTATCATATCTCCCTATATCTGTTGGTTAGACTTAGATATAAATTTAGTCAATGAATGAGATTGATATATCCAATTGAACAAGGTGAAAAAAAAAAAAAAAAAAAAAGAAGAGAGAGAGAGAGAGAACTTGATATTTTGAAAATGACATTTGAACGGTGTTAATTGGTCAGTTAATAAAGTTATTATCAATGGGACGGTTTCCGTTTTTTCAAAAAGAGGAGATTGCCGTTTCATTTCCTCAAAAAAAAAAAAAGAAGAAGAACTTACGTACAAATAAAATGCTATATATATATATATATATACAAAAGAATGACAAGAGTTTACAATACAAAGAGGGTGTAAGGAACCTGATCAAATAGGGACCTCCTCATGTAGGCGGCTTGGTGTTGCAATTGTTCTCTGTCCATCTGAATGTATAGGCTTGATGACAAAAACGGTGGCAGGAAACGGAAAGTGTCTAAAATCTTTTTACACGATTCTACATTTCTACTCGATGAGGGACCTTGGGCGAGGTATTTATATTGTTCATCCAGGAAAGAGATTCTATTACATGATTGGAGAATTGGTAGAAAATATCAGAGCACACGCGTCATTTTTTCACTCCAAATGGCCACAAATCTCTTAAAATGATTGGTCCACGTATGCTTTTGTTTTCTCTCTTTGTCCTTTTGTTGTCTTGTGCATTATGACACCATTCCCTCTTTTTCCACTCACCATCCATGCTTCGATTCGGAACTCATCTGATGAAAGAAAATTTGGAAATTGTTACATACATGCATGTGGAAGGTCTATCACTTCAACCAAAAAAAAAAAAAAAATGAAGCAACAAAATAATAATTTACCAGATAATGTAAGTATTAATTAACACATTTACACAAAATGTACAAAAAGATACCAATTAATAGACGATTTTTTTTAAGAAATTTAGTTTCGTTTGGCAGCTATACCAGTTGAATTTTTACTAGGGTTATTTGGAATAATAAGGTGCCACACTAAATGTTCAAGTTTGATCATTTGTTAATATTTGTATCAAGTTGAATGAGTTTGTTCATCAGTATAGAAATCGAATAGATATAAATTAATAATTTTATATAATTTTTAACTAAATTTTTTTTCTATCTAAATATACTACACACTTGCCTCGTTTAGTATGTAAAATCTTGTTCTATTATTTTATTTATCACAATTTATAACTATCCATGCACAGAAAAAATATATTATCACTTTCAATACCATTTTTGCTTACATAATATAAATATATATAGAAAAATGCTTGATAATACCATGGTGACAAACAACATTTTCAAAAATAGAAAGCGTTTAAGGGTAAATTTAAAAAATAAAAATATTAAATGACATAATATTCATTAAAATAAAGTATCATTCTTTGTATTCCTAAAAAAAACATTACCCTTATAAAATTATGATAATTTTTTTTTACATCACTGATATCATATAGTACTACTCATATATATATAATGTGTTTGCAAACATCTTGAGACCATTATTAAATTGCAGAGCTTTTTCATAACAATAATAATGATCAGACTAGATAAAATAACGATCAAATTTGGTTTGGTTGGCTAATGAATGAGCTCGAACAACGATTTTACTTAATAGAATTGATTGTGCTTGGTTCGGGCACCCACGAGCACGTGGAAGGCAAACAATTATTCCGTGACGGCACATGCGCATCAACTTGAGCTCCTGTACACTTGTTCAATACTGGTTATATTAATCCATTTTACCATGCGTACTGGATATTTAGAATTGTGGGTAAGTTGGAAAGAAAACTTTCATGTTTTGATGAGTGAAAAGCTGTTTTCTTAAAAATAATTCTATAAACTCAATCCAAAATTACTCTGCCCGCGTACGTCTTGTCAAGTGCAAATTTTCGAATCGAGATGGCTACAATATATAGTATCTCCCTTTCTATCTCAAGTTCTGAACTAAAAAGCATCGTATACTACATATTTACATTTTGACAGAGAAAAATAAATACCAATAAAGTTGAAAACGAGTGTGCGAATAATCTAGCTAATTTGGAAGTTGATGGTTTGGTTGGATTTAATGTTGCTGGATTCGCCTCTAGGCTCTGCTATTCCATTCCATTCCATTATTGCTTCATGATATTGTCAGCGTATCAATACCACGTAAGTTGTGGCCTTTTAACCCCCTTCTTTTCCTTACCAAATTAAATACATTAATTTTCTTCACTTTCTATTGTTCTTTATCTTATTTGAAGTTTTTACAACAGTCTTGCTGCTGTGTCGATTCAGCATAATTAAATTGGGACGTTCATTATAATGAAAAAGAAAAAAAGAAAAAGAAAAAGGAACTCTATAAGAGAGCGATAAAGTTTCACAAATTGTCGAATATTTCTGATCTGAGTGGACTCCTCTCGAAGAATGATTGGCATAAATATCTCACAGGAATTAGTTTCTATATCTAGAAAAACCAATCCAACTATCTTTTATATGTATACATCAATAAAAAAAAATATCAACGCAACTAGATTTCTTTTAAGGAAGAAAAAAAGAGCTGAGGAAAGAGAGAGCGATTCCCCATTTATGCCTTTGCCCCAGAACGGAGGTTTTGCAGTGTCGACACTCGCTGTCTTTCTCTCAACTGGGTATCACATCTCCTCCTTTTATTAAAAGAGAGGGACCGAGTGGGTGGATCAATGGGATGAGAATTCGAGTAGACGCGTTTCGCATTTTAATTGGAAATTAAAGGATCAATATTCTCTGGCTTCCATCACTCTCTTCCCATTTTTCTTCCCATGTTGATAAGAATTCCACCACAACAACCACGACAAATCCATCTGACATCAAATATCAGGCTTGGCGTCTGATAAAGATGCATGCATGAGCTTTCGACAAAGAATACTCCAAAAGTTCATTCTCTTGTACATACCTTTTAGAAACATAATTCACTCATACACTATATGTAGTAATAAAGTCTCATGACACATAAGAATCCTAACCACTGGACTCTTATCTTAATTTTGTCATTTCGCCTTTCAAAAAAAAAAAAAAAAATTCGAACTCTAGAATTTTTAAAACATTAATATCAGTTGAATTACAATTTATTATCTTCATTCATAATTTCGTTTCCATCCTAGGCATCGATACTAGAATATGAAACAGTTCCTACACTTATAATTTTGATCAAATGGTACATAAACTAGGGTTTTTTTTTTTTTTGTCAATATTATAGCACTGCTAAATATCGTAAGTGTTCATATACATATATCAATACAACAAGTTCAAAAATACGAATAGAGCCATGCTTTACCTAGTGATTAGAAAAGAAAAAAGTTTAATGTTATTAATGATTTTTTGAGCGAATTTACTAACTTGGCTATATTAAAAATATTGAAAAACTCTAATAAGCATTTAATATATTCATTTAATTGGCATTAAACTCTTTATTAATTTTAAGGCCTTTCTAATATTTTTATTTCCATTTTAACAACATATATACAATTTAGTAATTTAATCTTAAATATTAGTAATATAGTTGTTCATATATATAATATCAACACACAAATTTTCAAAGTATGAAACATTATTAATTATGGACAATTAATTATTATTAAAAAGTAAATTACAATAACCCTCTTATGGTTTACAAGAATCACACAACAACTTGAAGATTTGATAGAAACTTCCTATTATATCTAAAATGATCCTAATTAGTATTGGAAAAATAATAATTAAATTAAGAATTTTAAAAAAAATTAAGAAAGAATATTAAAAAGAAACTCAAAAACAAAAATTGAGTGAAATAAAATAATAAAATAATAAAATTGATATTGTTCATGTACTAAAAAACAATCAAGTCCCATTTTCTTAATTATATTCTTTCTCTAATTTTTTATGCTCTTAATTTAGATAACTCTTTTAAATAGCATTTAAGAGAAATTTGGATATAAAAACAAGTTTATGTAAATTTTTTTTTAAACATGTAGAATTTTTTTTTAATCTTCAAACCTTGGGTAGTCTCAAGAGTTATTGTAATTTATCCTAACAAAAATATCATTCATTCATTATATATGTATATATATATATATATTTTCCTAATAGATGAAAAATGTGCATGTGCTAAAGTTTATTTTTTATTTTATTTAAGATATTTTTTAAGTACAACTTTATCTGAAAATAGTTTAATTTTTTTTCAGCAGTAGTGATTGACCAAATTGAAAGAAATTTATTTTAAGTCCTGTCACTAGGAGAAAAAATGATAAGATAGTTTCACGTTTTTATTGATTTAATTAAACCTAATAATACACTCATAATATTAAATGATTAAAACATAATTTGTCATTTGTGTCTGTTATGATGCTGTGTCATGAGAGAGCGTCATCGTGCCTTTTCCCTAAATTTTAAACCACTAGACTTTAGTCTTATGGCCCTATTCCCCACTGTTATAGTTGTCCAAATAACCAATGAAATAAAGAAATAGTTGTCTCAAAAGATTTTTAGAATTTTCTTTTCCCTAGTCTCGATTCTATATTTTTTTTACCAGGGCAGAATGGCAAAAGCAAGTGATCAATTCCGATTTCACTCGGCGAGTTTAGAATTATGGAGTCTGGAAATCATCGGAGATAGAAATGCATTTGTCTTGTTAACATGGTCATGTATATTGCAAATGATAATTACACATCTAAGGGACTCTTGATCTAGAGCATGACTGTGCTGGAAAGATTTACATAAAAAAAGTTATTTAAGTCGTATACATGAGGATTGACTTTTATGAATGGAAGCTTAGAACATTAAGTTATGTATCTTTTCTTATACGTAACTTAATCATTTTTTCTTATTCTCAAGCAATATGATATATTTTCCGCCTTTTATACGTGTATCGATGTATTTGAACACAATGCACTGTGAAATTAAAAACATATGCTCCCTTTCAATGATATTATTGTCGTTCTTGCTACCCAACATTTAAGATATCTTCAAAATTATTATTATTATTATTATTATGAAATAATAAATATTCATCTACTTTTCATATCCTCAGTACTTATGATTCTTAATGTAATTTCATTTATCATTCAATGTGAGAAATTGAAAGGATGATACAATTGATTGAACAATTTATGTACTTTTAATTATTCATAGTATCTTCTAATTCTCTTTTCAATTTTAAAGCCTATAAATAGACTTGATTGTTCATTAGTTGATGTATAAGTTTTTTAGAGAGATTAAGAGATTAATTTAAAGTTTTTATCACTTGTATTCACTTTGTAGTAAATTCATTTTTTTGTCATCCTTTCCTTCAATTCTCCTATTATTTCTATTTCTTTTATAACACGTTATCAGCATGATTGTTCTACCAAATGACACAAATCATCTAGGCTATTAAGAGGTATGTATCTAATTTATCTTTTACTTTAAAT